AAGGGGTTTGATTGATTGGTGGTGGCGAGGAGTCGCCCCACCCCCCTGCCACCCACCACGTGCCACACACACACACACACACACACACACACACACACACACACATACACACACACACACACACACACACACACACTCGGTCGCGGCCGCGGACTCGGTCGCGGCCGCGGACTTAGCCACGCCTGTCCGGCGCCGAGGGTGTTACACAGTTGCGGCGAGCAAAAGGGAGGCCGCTGTGTAGTTACTAGCGGAGTCTGTACAAAAAGCTATGACGTCCTTCGCAGGGAAGGACTCAATGATGGCCTTCCACCTGCGGAAGACAATGGCGCCCGTCTCCTGTACAAAACCGTTGCAGCAAATGGTGGCGTAGAGTAGGGCGCCATTGGCACCTGGAGCAAGGAAGTTCACGATGGGTCGAGAATCACGCGATTTCCGACCATCTGACAAGATGGTGGCGCCGCTGTGACTGAACGACTCTCGGACCTCCCGTAATAAAGATGCCACCTTCGCCCTCTGCTCGGGCACTCCATCTCCACCGATTTCCTTAAAGGAAGGAAATCGCATCCGCAGTCCTATAGGCAGCTCATCGGCCGCCTTCCGGACCTCCCTCCACGATAGCCTCCTGAACGCGTTGAACGGAATGCCAGAGTCATAGATCCACTGCAAAACTTGTCGTTGAAGAACGATTGCTTGTCCGCAGTGTAGACCTCGTCGATTTTGGACTGGCGGACCCTCTTCCCCGGTCGAGTCGCTGCCCGGTCGGTCTCCCCCATCGCCCTCTTCCCCTTTCGCATATCAGGGTCTTCCCCACGCGACGTCATCACGACCTCCTCCCCTGGCAACTCCACCCCCTCCCGCTCCTCCATCTCGTCAAGCAAGTCCTGCACGTCATCCCTGCCTGCAGTGCAAGGATCCGCTCCTGTACGACCTCCAGCAACTGCTCGGGAGTCTCTGATGCCATGCTCCTCCATGTATGCGCGGATGGATGTGTGATGTCGGTCATCGAATTTGTAGTCTGTGCCGTTCCAAATGTCAACGAGCACGTCGAACTACGCAACACGACACTTCTTCAACTGGCAGAAGTGCATCGCGGTCTTCGATTGGTTCCCCTGCCACAGGTGCTTGCACAAGTTGCATCGCACCGTGAAACTTGTCCCACATGCCTACCGGCTGCCCCAGCGTAACGTATTTCCAAACGCATGAGGCCCTCCTCAGCTTGGCCATCTCAGCATCGGTAACAGGAATAAAATCTGACCCCCCTGAACCACCGGCCCCCCCGGAACCACCCCCTCTCCGACTCATTGTGAACGAATGACTCGTCCGCACTAGCCTATGCACTGATGTCACTCTGTGATGTCGCCCCTCAAGCCGTTCAAGTCCCTTGATGTCGTACTCCCCGCGTCCTAGGCCCCCGCCCCGCCCCGGGTCCACCGGGTGCCGACGCGCCCAAGAACCGAGGCCCACTCCAGTCTCGTCGTGACCTCGCGGTTGTGAAATTGCCCTCCGCAGTCATGACTTTGCCCGCTGCGGTTGGCGAGGCGACCACAGCGGTCGGGACTGCGCCCACGCGGGGCGAGAAGTGGTTTGGTTACTGTTCGAAGGGGTCGGAGATCGGCGGCAAGATCCTACGAAAAAAAAAAATAATAAAAAAAAAATCAGATGTTTGTTTGTGTGTGTGTGCGTATGTGTGTGTGTGTGTGTGTGTGTGTGTGTGTGTGTGTGTGTGTGTCAAACAAATTCCAACGAAACAGTCTGGTACAATCATGCTTTTCTGGAGTGCAAAAAATAGAGAAAAAATAAAAGAAAACGGATTGAAATAAAAAAACAAAACGGCGGTCTATATCACCATGTTCTAGCGGCAAATCAATCAATCAATCAATCAATTAATCAATCAATCAATCAATCAATCAATAATATCCAACGAAACACCCGCGGACGCGTCCACGGGGTCGAGCTCGGATCGGGGACCCAAATGGGTCCGCATCCGCGGCCTACCTGGTCCGCACCGCGGACACGATTTTACACGAATTTTCCTGAATTAAGTAATCGGTAAAAAACAAATAAACAAATATGGGGTTGTAGGGAATTTTAAGCCCTACAACTCCATTTTTCTTTTTTTTGAATCGGACTTTGTCTAGGATTTTTAAAAAATCAAAAACGAAATTGGACTTAAAGAAAATTAAAAATATAAATATATAGAAAAGCAGGAATTTTTTTTGGTCATTTTTTATCATGAGATATATGGTCCGTGAGTTTACCTGTATTTTTGAGAAATGAATTTATGTTTTTTGCAGAAGTATGAGGTGTTTTGAAAAATTGCAGATGTAAAAAAAAAAAAAAAAAA